AAACAGTGATATACCCAGAAAGAGGGAGATTATTCAGTGCTAAAACAAAATGAGCTATCAAGCTACAACAACAATTCGGGGAGGGGGCTTTAAAAAAAAAACCCAAAGTGCATATTACCAAGTGAAATAAGCCAATCTGAAAGGCTACGTCATGTATGATTCCAACTATATGACATTCTGGAAGTTAGAACCATGAAGGCAAAAAAGATCACTGGCTCCCCTGGGAACAGTGAACTTTTAATTTGCATATTCCCAGTGACATATGATGTCATATGTTTGTTGTCAAGAAAGACAGATGAACAGGCAGAGCACAGAGGATTTGAGGGCATCCTAACAGGAAAGCAGCAGTATCCCATTTTAGTTTGTCTGTGTTGGCTGATATATGGCATGTGCTTATCCAAACCCACACAGTGTACAACAGAGAATCCTGAAAAAAAAAAAAAAAACCATGGACTTAGTGTGGTCATGGTTGTACTGCTGTGGCTGGGGGATGTTGATAATGACAGAAGTTCATGATATAATGAGCAGGGGTGTAGGAAAAATCTCTGTCCCATCATCCTATTTGATGTAAACCCAAATTTGTTCTATAAAGACTCATTTAAAAGAATTGCAGGGGAGAGGGGCTGGGAAGATGGTTCAGTTGGTAATTGCTTCACAAGTAGCAGGGCTAGAGTTTGGATCCTTAGCATCTAGGAGAATGTCAAACAAGGATGACACATCTAATCTCAGAACCCTGTAGACAGACACAAGGAATCCCTAAAGCAAGCTGCCCAGCTAGACTAACTGAATTAGGTCTCATAGTGTTCAGACCAGAGACATGCCTCAATTATTAGGTGGGGACCAGTGGAAGAAGACACTCTGTCAATCTCTGTGCTCAACATGCACGTGTCTGCACATGCACCAGTACACACATGTGTACCCACAGGCATGTACACATGCACACAACACACACACACCATTCCAGGAGCCAGGGAGATGGCTCAGTAAGCACCTCCAAGAGTCCAAACACAACTCCTAGAAGCCATGTGAAAGAAGCCAGGCATGACACACACTTGCCCTAGAGACAGCAAGACAGAGACAGAAGAATCTTTGAAAATCACGAGCCAGCCTATAGTCTACTTGGCAAGGTCCAGACCTTTAAGAGAGACCCTATTTAAAGAAAAGGGGAGGGGTGGACACAGGGTATCACACACATTCCACAACCCACTCCAGTGCTGTACTAACAGCTGTAGTATCAGTCCTAGGGGTTTGTTACTGGTAAAAAGGCACATTATTTTTTAAGGCTCTGTTTCTACTTTACCCAAATTTTGACATCTCTAAAATTTGTACTGCTGCTGCTACTGCTGCTTATTCTTCCTATTTGGGATGCCTCCTATTGTTCCTCCTTCATTCTTGTCGCCCAGAAAAACTCTTCATTCATATTCAATTGCAGATGAAGCATCAACACCCATCTGAAGCTGTCTTCAACTCTCCCAGGTGCTGCCTCCTTCCCCAGACTTCCATTCTAGCATGATGTCATCAAGGCATAATTGTTTGCAGGTCTGCCTCCTCAAGAGCAAGGGCTGCATTTCTTCATCACTGGGAGTACAATGCCTTGTGTGTGTTAGGATTCAGGAGGTACTGGGTGATTGCTAACTGCATGACTGCCTTGCACAGAGCTGTAGTGTCAGTAGAGAGGCACATAGAGAGATGCCCAATCGGTGAGGAACAGAATAATCTTTGATGTGCAAACATCCTGCCTGTCTTGAAATCAGGCCCAAAGTCTGCCTTGTTCATGGGGCTTTTCTTAACACCTTCAGTTTCCATCTGTGCTACAAATGGTAGCATCCTGATGGTACTCCACCAGACATTTTCACTACATTCCTAATGCTTGTTTCCCAACAAGACAGAAAGATCCTTGAGAATAAGGGTTGTGTCACATCTCCTTGAGTCTTGCATGCTTGTTAGATAGCTCCCCAGAACAGCAACAGGCAACGGGTAGTACTCCCTTAGTCACCACAGTATAGACTGCTATCCTCATGGGGCCAGCTGTCCTAGGGTTTTATTGCTGTGAAGAGACACGGCGACAAAGACAATTCTTATAAAGGAAAACTAGGCCTGGCTTACAGTTTCAGAGGTTTAGTCCATTGTCATCACAGCAGGAAGCATGGTAACATGAAGGCAGGCATAGTACTGAAAAAGCCTAGAGTTCGACGTCTTGACTGGAAGGCAGCCAGGAGAAAACTGTCTTCTAAGCAGCTAGGAGGAAGGTCTCATAAACCCACTCCAACAGTGACCCAAGTCCTCCAACATGGCCACACCTACTCCAACAAGGTCACATTTATTAATAGTGCCACTCTCTAAGCTAAGCATATTTAAACCACTATACCAGCCCAACTTTGGATGGCTATGCTAAAAGTATTAAATTGTAGCTTTAAGGCTACAACAGTGATTTGTGAATGTCTTGAGCCATGGTAGGGTTCATTAGCATGGTATTCCCCAATATCTGTCATTAATATTCTTCAACCCAATACTGATATTGACATTAATTCTTCCTAAGAAACCACTAAAAAGTAAAAAAAAACAGTTTTGGGTGTGGTGGTGTAGACCTGTAATCCAAGCACCCAGGAGGTTCATGAGTTCAAGGCCAGTCTGGGATACATAGTGAGATCCTATCTCAAGCACAAAACAAAACCCACAGACAGGAGTAGCTAGGACTCATGTTTCTACTTTTCACTTACTTTGCTTTGCCGTTTACACATGCGTGCCTATCTTTCACCATCCTCGTCTCTGGTCTCTCAGGAAACTCGGTAGTGCTGAGCTCTCAGTCTTTCATTCGAAGAACTTGAGGTGTTTTAAGGAAGGAGGAAAAAGGAAGAAGGAAAGGAGAAAGGGAGGAAGGGATGAGGGAACAAAGGAAAAGAAGGATAAGAAAAAGAAGAGGAAGACAGAGAAATAATGAGGTTGGAAGGGGGTCAAGTTGCCGGGATACTAAGGGAGTTGGGGAGGGAAATGGGGAGTGGGTATGATTATGTACATGAAAATATTAAAGATAAAGAACTTTACCACTTCTGTTCCATATATTGCTGAAACAAAGGTTTTCAGGACTGGCACTGAAAGGCTTCAGGCAATAACTAGATAACAGAAATCGTTTTATCCTGCCTGCCTATACAGCTTTGCTTCGAAGCATCTCTCGCCACAATACCCCACCAGCAGTACATATGTGTACACAAACGCCCTACCCAAGATGGCATGGCAGAGATGCATGGAAAACTAAGACTCCTGGTAAGAAGAAAATGGTTTCAGTTGTTGAATATTACTTAGAAAAGTTTCTACAACTGACTTTGGCACTGTTTCCTGTTTTCTGGAAAACTCCCCTCCTCTCTACCCAATATCATAGTCAAAATTTTCTACTTCCTTTTTCCAGGTCCATGGTATGAAGGCCACCCTAGCATAAAAGCAAGCATGCAAGTGGCCCACAATATGTGTGCTCACATGAGTAAAACGCTAGCCAGGGGAAAGTGCTTTTCCCGTGCCTATTGTGTATCTGTCCTGCTGACTACTGGGACACATAGATATGGAAGGATCAGGTGGAAGGCCTTGGTGGTCAGCAAGCCATGACACTATTGTGTTCTATCCTGCTGACGACTGGGACACATAGATATGGAAGGATCAGGTGGGAGGCCTTGGTGGTCAGCAAGCCATGACACTATGGGGCACCTACAAGATGGAGTCACTTTGGGACCTCAGAGGCTGAGGGGAAATGGTTCCAGAGAGGTGAGGAGGAAAGCATAGGAAGGGGGCCAAGACTGCAGAGACCAGTGTCATCTAGACAACAATTCCTAGCTTCCAATGGCTGTTCATAAGGACAGAACCAGACGAAGTTCAGGATATCAGGGATGCTCTACAGGTGCTGTGCAGTAGACATATACTTAAAATCAATCCCTGTTAGTACAGGATGGCTCACATTGCCTTTTTTTTTTTGTTTGTTTGTTTGTTTTGTTTTTGGAGACAAGCTGGTTCCTAACCTTTAACCATCATTATTTCCCCAAAGGGGGTGCACCGTTCCTGGAGGTACTGCAATACCAGGTCGATGCGTGGAGTGGACGGAGCAAGCTCCTATTCCAACTCCTACTTCCAAAAATCCATTTAATATATTGTCCTCGGATAGAGGACGTATCAGATATTAAACTGATAAGAACAGATACTACACTTGATCTTAGCCAAAAGGCCGAGAAGCGATTCACATTGCCTTTTAAAAGCACAGCCAAGGGAGCAGTAAGATGGCTCACGAGAAAAGGCTCTTGCTACCGAACCTGACAACCTGCAATCAGTTGCTGGAGTCCAGGACGGAAGGAGAGAGTAGACTCCCACAATTCGTCCCCCAACCTGTGTACATGCAGCAGACCTGGTACAGACACACACCAACACATACATACAATAAATGTGTTTGCTTGTTTAATTTAAACAGAGCCAAGAGGAGCCTCTGACAATACAATGATTGAATGTGATGTGGCATCTGAGATAAGGTCCTGGGGACAGAAAGAACTTTCAGCAAAAATATGAGTAACCTTTGAACTTTAGTTAACAGTAATGTACCAGTATTGATTTATTAATTGTAACAAATGTACCATCCTAAAATAAAAGGATAGTAGCCAGCAACCTAGGCATAGGGTATTTGGGAGCTCACTCTACCATTGGCTCAGTTTGTCTATAATTTCAAATCTGCTTGAAAAACTAACATCAATTTTGCAAAGAAGAGAACATGCTCTGTAGAATATTCCTGGCAACAGAAAGAGAAAGGAGTTGACCCTTTTTGAAAGAAGGGACTGTTGTCAGACGCCATGTTTGTAGCTTGATCATCAGGGCCTGTAGAAATGCTGAGTGCTTGCTTGCTCTCCCCAAGTTGAAATTTTGGCAGGCGGCTGCAACATTTGAGCACTGATTATAATTTTGAGATGCATTGTCAGTAACCAGGGTATATAATGGATCTTCAACTCTAATTACATCTCTCTCCACAGGTGTCTGGAAAGGGTCCAGATGGGAGCACACACAACCTCCGCTTTGAGGGGATGGAGCGGCAGTATGCATCCTTACCCAGGTAGGAGATACAGGGGTCTCCCATCCCCAGATCACTCACAAATGAAGCCTTTAGAGATGCCTGTGTGAACTAGAAATCTGGCTTTGAGATGGGGAATATGGTTGAGTTTTGCCTTACTACCATCTGCTGTGGCCTGGCTGCCATCTTCCCACGTGTGCTAATAACTGAAACACTTGTGGGTTGTTTTTTAAGGGGAGAAAATAGTATATCATTGCAATTGAACATGTCAGCAAGGATATTGGATACTGAATGGAAATCCTAAGCCATTGCTATAAAAATGGTATTGAACATCCTGCACCAAGCTTAGAGACAATAAAATAGTAAATCCTGTGTCCTAGAAGTTTCTGAGAGAAAGGGCAGCCTGGCCTTAACCTTGGAGCTTCAGGTGGGTGTTAAAAAGGAGAGAAACTTGAGCCTGGAAGGTGTTTTTAGAATGTGACTGTTTCCTTGAGGCAATAAGCAAATATTTCTAAGAGTCACAGACAAGTAGGGAGTAATAGAAAGAATGCCGTGGGAAAAGTTGGCTTGGCCAAACTGACCTAACTTGATCCCCTTAGGCTGTAAGGAGACACCCCTGAAAATGAGATACAATTCGAGAAGGTTGGGGCTGTTACCTGAGAGGTGTGGAGTCCAGTCTTGTTAGTCTGCAATCAGGAGCACATGACAAAGAGGGGACCTTTCCAAGGTTACTTACAGCCAGCTTCCCTGGGAGTCTGATAAACTGAGAGTGTGAGAATTAGCGTGTTCAAAAAGTAACAAAGAAAGGCAAATGCCAACCGCCAATCCGAAGTAACTGGGTATCACCTCAGAAAGGGCAATGGAGGAGGCTTCCTGGTCGTCAGATCAGCTGCTGCTGAGCCACTGACTCAGAGACAGTTGCTGTTGAGTGATCTGTGGGCTCTACTGTGGATGAAGTGACAATCATAATATCCTGAATTTTATGTCAACCACAGCCTAGGTGACCATCTGCTCTTAGAAAAAGTATGATAGGGCTGGACAGATGGTTTGCCACACAAGCATCTAGCATAAGGAGTAGAGTTCAGATCCTCTAGTACTCATGTAAACGGTAGGTGGATGTGGTGTCCCACCTGAAATTCCTGCTCTCCTAAGGCAGGGGATCCCTGGAGCAAAGCAGACTGACTAGACTAACTGTAACTACAAGCTCTAGGTTCAATGCACTCCTAAGGAAAAGGATCCCTGGATCAAGCAGGCTAGCTAGACTAGCTGTGACTGCAAGCTCTGGTTTCAGCTGAGATACCCTACCTCAAAGAGTAAGATCGATCAAGGAGGAAAGACTCCTGATGTCAGCTTTAAGCTTCCACAAGAACATGCACAGATGTCAGATGTACATGTACCCATACAAGTACACATAAATACATACCACACACACACACAAGCACCACACATACATATGAAAAAATCAAGTGTTGATTTTAAAATACAATAAAACCTTAAATTTAGCAGGGCACCAATTTTTTACCATTTTCCCTGGTATGATACAGGAAGTATAGCTCTGATGCAGCTGTATTTTATATATCTCCCTGTTTCCTTTATATGTTATCACATAAGGGATTGTCCCCCTTCTTCTACCCCTCCCATCTATGATTAGTTTCCTGCCCCTATTTTTTTCCCTGGCTTAGCATTTTGTTTTCATTTTGAAAAATGGAGTCATTTCCAAACTTCATTTGAAATACAAGGTTTCCGGCTTTCACCGTTGAAGTATATGGAAATTGTGGTTAAGGCAAAGAAAGGAGTAGATTCTTAAGGGAAATGGGGAAGGGAGGGAAAAAATCATTTTAATGTCTTCCTGGCCAGCTTGCATCCTGAGTTTAAGAACTGATTTTTTTTTAAATCAAAAACACAGAAATAACATTTAAAGCTTTATAAATCTTACTCATTAATTCCCCTGTTCTAGTGTTCACTAGAGAATAAAGAGAGTATAGAGAGAGCCCTGAGGATATGGAATGGTAGACATTCCTGGTCTGTCCTTGGGATCCTGTTTGGTAAAGGGGGCAAGCAGTAGGCCTTTTCTGCTGCTGATGAAATGCTCAGAGTAGTAGCAAAGGCCTCTAAGTTTCTAATTCCTGTCTAATTTCCCTAATTGGCCCTGAAAAGCCCAATCATGGCTGACTGCAAACAGGTCTCTTTAGGAATAAACACTGCTGAAGGAGTTTCATGACAAAGATAGTGTGCAGATGTGTCTGTGGCTCAGGTGCTATCAGCACAATGTTTGAATTGGCAAAACCCTGGCAGTTCTGAGACACCAGTGTGGCTGAAAGAGAAGCAACTTAGAAAATAATGTGGCACCAAGTCCCTTCCCAAACACAACGGTAGGAACAAATTAGCTGCTGGTGCAGTCAGACCTCCATGGCTGCCTTTCAGACAGAAGTCACCATGACGGAGCTGAGACAGGTGTGTGAGGATACTTAGGCACCAGGATCTTAGTGCAGAATGCACACACCAGTTTCTATCTTGGGATCCAAAAAGAAAACACACAGCCCCCTCTCAGGCTGTGTGTGTACCCAGGAGTCCATGTTTGTCTAGTGAGAATCAGAGGTGTTGAGACACGAGCCCAGCCAGCCTGTGAGGTATGCAGATCTAGTCTTGAGGAGAGCCGGTGAAACTGACTTGGTTTTCAACATTCCCACCTAGGTATTATCCTGTGCTCTTAATTGGATCACACCAGCTCGGTGCTTTCTCCCTTTGCCAGGAATGAGGGAAGAACAGCTCTGTAGATACCAGGCCCTTCTTTATCACAAAGGCAGGGAGAGTTTAAATATTTATGGAATTAAAATTTTAATTAAAGCTCAGACTAGGTCTATCTCTAGAAAGCCACTGGCCATCCTTCCAGAGCATTCAGCCTGCCACTGGCTGACTTGGCTCCTAGGTTGTTCATTGAGATGTCAAAAGAGCTTCTAAGGCAAAATCAGTAACCTTGACTTATATGTCAAATTTGGAAGCCTGGATAGAAAATGTATTCTCATTTGGGGGCTCATTCCTAAGCTTTTGGGGATTCCATCATCTTTAAGGCAAACCCAAGCAGGCGGCTGTCAAGCTAAATGACACTACACAAAAATAAAGCAGAGCCCTGGCTAGTGCAGGCAAAGACAATTCCTAGCACTGGGTAGTTAGGAGCTTGCCTGAGGCTAAGGGCTAAGCAATGTTAAGTGTTATTGTTAAGCAATGTTAAATCTTCTGCCTCCAAAGGAAAATGACTTTATTTCTTTTCTCCTGAGGCTGGTGTTTCTGGAAAGCCTGGTGGCTTGTAATACAACCTCATTAGCAAACCCCAGGCCTTGACTGGGGCCAGTCTTACCAGTCAGTCTGTGCAGCCCCCAATTTTCTTTGGTAGTAAACAATGAAATCAGCATCCCTTTAGTATAGCCTGACACAAATTATTACTCACCTACTCTCTGCAGGTGAGTGGCTGTTTTCTGGGCTGTTCTAACAAGAGAACACCAAGGCACACACTTTCACTAAGGGCCTCTTTTCCATCCCAGCCTACCATTCCCTTCCAATCCTCCCAGGCTCCTTTCTCATTTCACAGGCCCTTCAGCTGTAGGCTCTCTCTGTTCTGTCATCTCTTGGGCCTCCATAATTCACCTGACCCAATCCTGGCCCCCCTGGGATCCCATTATCCTATTCTCTACAGATGGCTCAGTGCATCAGCACCTGATGTTGCTCTTCCAGACCTGTAATCAAGTGTGAGGTCCTAAGGAATGAGCAAGACAGCAAGACACACCGCATCTCATCTGTGGTCCCCTGCACGTGGAAGGTGGCTGGAGAAACTCATAAAACCCCTTTTATCATTTCCATTCCAAAATTCACATTAGGCAGCACCAGCTGGGCCCCTACTGCTGGCCAGCATTCCTCTTAATCATGTGATCAGCTCCCTGGACTCTCCAGCAGTGGATGTTCAGACCCTGTTCTACCAAGATGACTAAACATTCCCATGCAAGGTCTCTAGAGATGACCTCATTTCCTTTCCGTTAGGGCCCTGAGGCAACCGACATTAGCCCTGAACTTCTGCTCCCCAGCAGCTCTGTCTGCTGTCTTCTCCAACACACACTTCCCAAAGGGAATGGAGGAGGGTCTAAGCTTGGAGCTGGGCCATGCGTATAGGCCCAGCTTAGTCACTTACCACCTGTGTGGCCTTGGCCAGTGATCCAATTGTTCCAGGCTCTGCTTCCTCATCTGCAAATTCGGGGTGACATCAGGTTCTCCATCTAGTGGTTGTAGTGTAAGGATCAAACGCATGGGAGTAATGTAATCAGTTAGCAGCCTGACATATTTGATGGATCTTTTTTTTCTGCTTGCTTTTATTTGATCCATGGGCATGAGATTTTCCTTCCTATAATGAAGCAAGCTCATTCTCACTGATGTCTCTGGGTCCTGAGAACACTGACTTTTCTTTTCTGGGCCACATCTCTTTAAGCAGAACCCCCTTCAGGCTTTCTCCTTGTCTAAGATAGTAACTGCAGAGGCTCACCTGCACAGCTCCTATCCTGCAGAGAACAAAGGTTAACACCTGCATGTAGATATGCTAAAGATCCTAATGCAAAAAGTTTCGGCTGACACTAGAGAAAGGCCACCAGTCCAGAAAATAGAGAGCAAGATAGCACAGCAAACTACTATGATTTGAGCGGAAAGCTGTGCTGATGGACAGGGTAGGGGACAGTGCTTCCTTTAGTGGGGGAATCATAAAACAGATCCACAGTGTTGACTTGGATCTAAGCAAGAGGACAGGGCCTGTTTCCAACAAGATTTCAGTACAGGTCTAGGATCCTACCAGGGTAGAAGGCTAAGAATGCAACTCTAGCTGCTCTAGCAGACAATAGGAAAGCAGCACCCCTTTCCCTCCTGAGAAGAGCTCCAAATATGTTGCCTAGATCTGAGCACTGTTGGCTCAGGCCAAGGGGAACAAACATGATTTAGGGCATATAGCTAGGGAGGCTAGGGTTAGCTCCACATACTTGACTTTGATCCTCAACCTACAAATG